GAACTGAACAGACGAGAGTTGAATGTAAATCAGAGTTCTGTTTATCTGACGTTCTGTTTCCCCTGCAGAGCTCCGGTTCTGGTGGCGCTCGCTCTCATTGAATGTGGGATGAAATATGAAGATGCTGTCCAGTTCATTCGACAGTAAGTGACACACATGGAAACATTTTCACAGAACTGCACGTTTAGCTTTTGATTTACAAAAATTGGGTTCATGCTCGCAGCAAAGTACTCTCAGCTAATCCTGAGTAAAGCTGGACTTTAGGGGCTGGAGTAATACCTGCAAAGACTCTTATTTTACCTGTTGTACATATTTTTTTAATTGTAGTCTAGGGTTATCTGCATTTAGTAGATTTAGCAGTATTCAGGTCCAGTCCTTGCCTGAAATCAAACCACAGTCATTTCCCAAATATATATATTTTTTTACACAAACCCACCATTCGTGAAATATCCTTACATTTTGTTGTATTGGTTATTGTGACCAGGATGGATACTGAGCCGTACACAACGTTTTCTCTCAATCACCTCCAAACTATGATTGTGTCGGTGATTGAGACAGAATGTATCCACAACAGATCAATGGTTAAATTATTTATCAAATAAAAAGTCAAGGAAGCTTCTAAATTTTTTTTTAAAATGGGCTGTTTTTAGATTAAATAAAATCCAACGTTAGTTAGTAATATACTTAATAAATAGGCAATGCATTTTGAGATGACATGTCACTTGTTAGACGCTTTACCCAAAGCTTACGTACACTCAATACCATGGGCAATCCCCACAGAAGAAGTTTGGGGTGAAGTGCCTTGCTCAAGGACACAACGATATGCTGACTGCAGTTGGGATTGAACCAGTGACCCACAGCCTCCTAAATAATCAGGGGTGCACATAACTGGTACGCATGCACGGCAAACATCTGAAATGCGTACCGTCACTCGTGTCACTAAGCGCAATTGCGTGCCGGCGGACTTGTGAAGCATTTCCAGAAGGAGTTGCGATCACTGGACGTGCACACGGACGGGGCTGCTGTTAACGTCGGTCTGTACGACGGAATTTAACTTCCGTGCGTGTTCCACTAGCGCCCACCTTCACCCCTCCCGTCGACGTTCGCAAAACAGAGGGGCAGCCCTGAGTACCAAACATTGTCTCCTGGTACTCATTTGAGTAACTCACTAAGAAAGTGATGTGCACCCCAGTAAATGATACAACTCTTCTAACCAGAAGTTTTTAAATATCAAGAAAGAGACCCTCAGTGCCCTCTGGTGGACACACGTTGAACTGCAGACCCCAAACTGCTTCAGTTGACCACTGAGTTTGATATTTCCTGCTTTTCTGAGGGATTTATCTCTGAGAGAAACGTAGTGTTCGATGAAGCAGGGAGAGATGAATCATTACAGGAACATCAGAAAGTGAGAGGAGTGATTCACGACGAGTGGGTTCATGCTGTTAAAGTACGTGATGCGTCAGAGCTGGGAATATTTATAGGTCGCACATGTTTGCTTTGAAGTGATATATGGATTTTCATAGGAAGTCACAAGAATATAAGGTGGGGGATAAATGCTGACATTTAGGTGTTTACATATTTTGTCACAATGTAAACTAAATGTATTTCTTGATGTAATTCATATTCCAGAACATTAAATGAGAAATTGATAAAGCATTAAAATTCCAGGGTGTCCGCGGGGTCTTAAAAAATATTAAAAGTTGATAAATAAATGTAGCCAAAATGACGGCTATTAAAAAGTATTAAAGGGTATTTTCCAAGTTATGACATTTTGCAGCTCGTTTTTCAATAACCAAAGAGGTTGTATTCTACAGTGTGCCTGAATGTAATCATTGCGTAGGTGTGTAGTGTGATTCTGTGTAGTTTATTTATGGCATCCCGTTGGATTTGACGTCATCTGAACAGGACATCGCACGCTCACTGCTTGATAGCGCGCAAAGGTCCGTTTACGCCGGTTGTTAAACAACATCGTTAAATCGTTAAACATCGTTGTGGGGAAATGCAAGTTTGCGTCCAAATGGTTAGAAGATAAGGAGGAAGGACAATCAATACTGTAGTAAATGTGAGGTAAAGTGTGTCGCAAATGTAATCTCCAAGTGGCGATGAGGTCTTAAAATGTGTGGAAAGGGTCTTAAAAAAGGTCTTAAAAGGTATTACATTTGACTTCAGGATTCCTGCATATACCCTGTGTTGGCATGCTGCATGTATCCAGATGTGTGCTTCTGTACACATTGTAGTAGTGTGTTCTTCTCCACATGGAGCCTACAGCTGTACATGTGTGTTATAATCTTGACTCCAGGTGCATCCTCCTTCTCAAAATCAAAGTCAATATGTAGAGCTTCTGTATCTTTCAAAGCTCTAACCTCTGTATTCTCTGGAGAGTCTTTGATAAACCCATTGCACCTTTTGAAAGTCTTCGTTGAGGACCTTCCTCACCGTGGAGTGGATTGATGCTTAAGAGAGAGCACACTTGCTTTTATCTCTTTTGTCTTTTTTCCATCTTTCTCGTATTTGTGTATTTGTTTCTCTCTTTGCGTCTGCACCAGTCTGTTTAGTCATCAACCTCACTCTCGTCTCTTGACTGTCTGCCTCTTTCATCCTCGTCTTTTTGCCTTCAGTAAGGATGAGGGAGGATGTGTGTGTGTCGTTTGGTTGCTTGTTTTCTCCATGGTGAGATTGCATCGGGGCAGAGCTCGCCAGTCCCTAACAAGGCAGTCTGAGAATCTGCTTTGATGTCACCAACAATTTTAAAGTCAGTAATGAGGAGGTGGGACTGTTCTGATTGGTGCCGGCCTTCTTTGAATGATAGTTCCGCCTCATGTTTGTTGATCGTGTTTATGCTGTGTCGACTTCATATTTTGCACACAGTTAATCACACCACTTGATAGATATGACAGATAGTCTGGGTTGGAGTGGAAGTAAGAGACTTCAAACAAGAAAGTTGCTACAAGAAAACTACCAGTCATACCTCTGTTTTTTAAACAGCTGCACTTCAAAATCATAGCCGAAAGGGAAGACACCATGCAAGCCTCCAGTTGTTGATGTAATATTTTTATATTGAGGAGATTCTCTTCTACAATTAATTCCCATACTTGTCTGTATTCAGAGGGTGACATCATGGGGAACACAAACTTCATCCCTCATTGAGAGGAAGACATCAGCCTAATTTGTTGACTTTGTGCCAAACATGACTTCTGATCTGTGAAACAAAATCAAGTTGACACGATTTATCAAATGGAATTCACTACAACAACAGAACCATTAGCTTGTAAATTAAACAATAAACTCCACTGTAATTGCCACTGCAATACAAACATTTGGAACTCAGGCTTCAGAAGAAGATTGTGGGTGTCGACTGCCATACTGGTTCTGTTGCAGAAGGACATGAATATTCTCTGATACAAACAACAAAACAAAGGGGTGCATGGACTTCTAGAGTCTGTGGTAGAAGTGACATACTGAGAGCAGGTCATATGTAAAAGTCCCTTTTTGTGTTTTGATTTCAAATACATCATAAACAAACTATTCTCTTTCTTTGGTTTTCTCTCTGTTCTTTTACTTCCCCCTTTGTTCTTAATCTCAGTGTTTGTTAAAGCAAATCTCGCCTCAATTTCAATAGATGAGCTCTTTTTTGTTTATGTGTGGGATGCATCACACAGGTGACTGTTTGCTCACATACCGAGCCAAATCCTTTTGGCAAGGCGCATCAAATGGGGGAATCTGGGCTGCTCCAAATCCCAGTAGAGGTCTGAGAGCTGCAGGTGGCGACTTCAGAGAGTATCATCACATTGCATTTCAATAAGCTCCAACTGTCTGTACTCCTCCACTCCTCCACATCAACAGAGAAAGAATTTGAAATCAGGGGATTTTCCTTCGCAATGACGCCGAAATCCAGGAAGTTTAGTTCTGTGATCAGTGAGCAAAGTCAAATATTTCCCCATTTTGAAACATCTGTTGCAGTTTTTAGCTGGAGATGCATTCCCGAAGAGATGGGAAGTGTATACAGTATCATTCAATTTGCCACTTACAAAGTTGAAGCTTTACAAAAAATTACTTATTGTGAGCATATTTTCCTTGCAAACTTGATCAACTAAAGAAGACGGGAATGCCAACAACTCAGCAAAGTTAGGCTAAAACGTTTGCTTCTAGAAACGCACTCCAGAACCGTCCCAGGATTAGGCCTGCATCAATATTGTGCAACGATTTCTGACAAGAACGTACAAAAATACAGATGATTTAGCACTCTAGATCGGACATGCTCATCACTTCATCCTGCTTAGCAGCTCTCGTGCTTTCTGTGACAGATATTCTTAATATACTGACAGTAACACCTGGACTTTATAATAGGAACTGCACATTTCATTTGTTAGACGCTTTTATCCAAAGCAACTTACATACTCAATACTGTGGGCAATCCCCACAGGAGCAATTNTGTGTGTGTGTGTGTCCACTTCTACCTTGTACAGTGGGGCAAAAAAGTATTTAGTCAGCCACCAATTGTGCAAGTTCTCCCACTTAAGAAGATGAGAGAATCTCTCATCTTCTTAAGTGGGAGAACTTGCACAATTGGTGGCTGACTAAATACTTTTTTGCCCCACTGTACAAGGTAGAAGTGGACACACACACACACACACACACACACACACACACACACACCCCCACACGGTCCCAGTGTGGCTCCGATCAGTTTTTCCGCGCCTGATGTGCTGTGACAGTCTAATGGTATCGACCGTGGTCTCAGCCATTCACCTGGAATAATGTGCAGAGAGATGGAGAACTCTTCTCTCCTGCAACCTCATTACACACAAGCTTTCCAGGCTCCTTGTACCTTTTAAAATGAACTCAAGGAAAATTTCTTAAATACTGAATCCTTTAAAATGTGTTGGCGGCATGAAACAGGAGGAAAAAAATGCTAATTTGTAAAATATTTAAAAGGACAATTCTCGATTTTAATAAATTCAAGCAAGTTATATTTGTATGACTTCCTTTCTGATCTATAGAGGTGCAAATCTGGAAACAGCACCCCAGGTCTGCAGAGCCTGACCAAATACGTGCCTCGACCGGGACCAATGGACCGCAAGGTGAGTGGCTGAAAAATGTGTGGGAGAGAGGGACACCCCCACTCAGTCTGCCGTGTTTTACAGTGAGAATACTTTTATCCACTAGAGAGCAGTGTGTGTCTTTTTAAAAGAACTAGGACATCTCCTCTGCCGGCCCACTTAACAAATGTAAAGCTGCACGGAAAATTCTCAGTAAATGTGTTGGTGTTCAGTCGGCCTTAAATAATTAACCCTATATCCTTTGTTTGAGGAGGCCTTACTATGGAAACAACTAACATGATCAGAAGTTATCCAGGTTAACCCTGTGGTTTATTGCTATTTGTACCAATAGAATGCTCCTTAATCTCAGTTAACAAATATAAGCAATCCAAAATCATGTTTTTGTAATTACAGCGATTTAGGTTGTCAGATTCCGAGCTATGCACATGGTATTAGAGCTATACTGATGTAGTCGCCAAAATTGAAATTGTGCAGGTATATTGATATCATTGTATATGTTGGCCAATAGGAAACAGCACATTTCAGTACAGAAATACCAAGCATACATGGCATTGTCTGGGATCATATGTTTTTGTTGATGTATACAGACCGATTTGAAATATTTTAGGATGAATTCAAATGACTGTTGACAGTGTAACAGGATCTGAGGTGTTACTCTGTATGCAGGTGGTGCTGAAGGCGCTGCAGCGCTCCATGGCCCGTATGCACGTGGATAGTCTGGACTGTGTTCAGTTCCACTGGTGGGACTATAGAGACAAAAGATACCTGGAGGCACTGGGACACCTGTCCGACCTGCGGCAGGAGGGACTTATTCGTACGTTCACTGAGTTACACAAAACCTATTGTTGGCATTGTACAGATAAATGGAAAAAATCTAATTGCACAAATGCTAGACTTGCAGACCAATGTATTAGCAGACTGATTTCCCAGATCAGATATCAGAATATTTTTGGAGGAAGAGTTCATACTTTATCTGGAAAAAGCAGTTTGAAAAGAAATAAGCTTAACTTAGGGTCCATCTACAAACCTTTTTAGTTTTCTTAGTTTTCAACCACAGTTTTACAACTGCAGCAGAGGTGTGGTTAAAGGTTTCAGAGATGATAACTCAGTGGACCATGTGTTGATAATTTATTTATATGTGACAACAAAACGTTTCTTTGATTATTTTTGAAACAAATGATGATGCATATATTGTTATTGGATCATTTTAACATATGGATAACAAAATGAGCAGCATACTGATAATGAGAAGATCTGGCAGTACATTATGTGTGTCATCTTTATATTTATTCTCAGACTTGTTGTACTCTCAACCTGTTTGTTCCTTTTTCCTCAGGAGAGCTTAGCCTCACTAACTTTGACACACAGAGGCTGGAGGAGATCACCAGCAGAGGCATCCGCATCTCGAGCAACCAGGTGACACTTCCAGCTGCATGCTGGCACACTTCTCCATCAGCCTCTCTTCCCCAGTTATAAACCCTGTGTTTAATGTGTCCGCCCTGCAGGTTCAGTACTCTTTGATAGACCAGCGCCCTGCAGCCAGGATGGAGCAGTTCTGTGTGGCAAACAACATTCAGCTCCTCACTTATGGCACGCTGGGTGAGATACGACACATTACATTTTAAATACACTCATTACATATTAATGTTTTTATTATTTGAATGTACTCCGATATATGAATGTAACTCCTGTAGAGAAATAACAAAGAAGGTTTACTTCCCGTTTAAGGATGTAAGCAACACATTTTGCATCATGGTGTAAAGATGTAAAATGGTAGGTTTCTAAAATGGTCGATATGACGACACATCCTCTCTCCACTTCCTTCCCCCTCTTTTCCTCCTCCTGACCTCACTGGTCTCGTGCATTTCTTCTTTTTTTCTATCCAACATCTCTTGTTTCACCCACTTCTTCCTTCTCCATCTCATATTCTCTTCCTCCATTTCTCTATTCCTGCTGTTTCCTTCCATTTTCACTCCATCCTATTCCTCATTCCTGACTCCTTGTAACCCCTTCTTCTCTCTTCCGTCCCTCTTTCCTCCATCCCTCTCTCCTCCCTCCTTTTCTCCTCCATCCCTCTCTCCTTCATCTCTGTCCTCTTGTAGCTGGCGGTTTACTCTCAGAGCGTTATCTGGGGCAGACGGAGCCCAACTCCAGGGCGGAGCTCTACACCGCCTCCCTCTCTAAGTACAAGAAGATGATCGACTCTTGGGGGGGCTGGAGCCTTTTCCAGGACCTCCTCGTTGCCTTGGAGACCGTTGCCAGGACACACGACTGCTCGGTGGCCAGTGTAGCAACGCGGTACGTGCTGGACCGCCCTGCGGTGGGCGGGGTCATCGTGGGCTGCCGGCTGGGCATCTCTGGGGCAGGGGAGCACCTCAGCGACACTCTGCAGAGCTGCAGCCCTGCCCTGAAGCTGACGGAGGGAGATCTCGCCGCCATCGAGACAGTGACACGACGCTCCAGGGACCTCATGGCGCTCATCGGGGACTGCGGGGATGAGTACAGGAGCTAAAGGGGGGGAAGGGGGGAGTGACTAACTGGGAGTGACAGATGGGGTGAGGAGGAGGAGTAAAGCAAGGGATAGGAGAAACATCTCACATATCTACCCATAGTAGAAAGGACTAAATGCATCTCCATTATACATAACCAAAGTATTTCACTAAACAGGGACTTCCGTTTTCTTTTATATAACTTCTGAAGATTATGTGTTTTAATTTTTTCTAATGAATATTGGATGCTGATAACCAGATTAAACACTTTTCTCCCTCAGCATGTGCTTACACTGCTTTCTTAATGTGGGAGAGAAGATATTTTTCAGGCTTTAATTGAGTTACAGTGAGATGCACAAATACTCAGTGATAAGTAATCACATGAAAGTGTCTAGTAAGTAGACACAAAGCTCTAGAATTAAGAAAAAGTTCAGTTTTTAATTTTAAGCTTTAATGCTGTGATTTTAAATATATATGGTTTATACATAATGAGATATTTCATTAATTAAATTCTGAGCTTTTGAGTTGGATGTAATGTTGTCAAAATGCAAATAAGCTTGAATAAGTGCTTTGGGTTTAATAAAATGTTTTCCATCATGTTTGCAGTTTTCTTAGCTTTTTATTTATTAAGTGATACATTTGCCTAAATCTCAAAAACCTTTTTGTGGCTTAGCTCCTGTGTTATCCAGCAAGAAACCCCACTGCAATCAGCATGTCGTTGTGTCCCTGGGCAAGACACTTCACCCCAAATTGCTCCTGTGGGGATTGCCCACAGTATTGAGTATGTAAGTCGCTTTGGATAAAAGCGTCTAACAAGTGACATGTAATGTAATGTGAAAGAAAGAGAGTTACCAAAGACAACTGTTATCTTGGATTGGACCTTTAGGATTATCATGACCAATGGGCACATTTCGGTTTCTGAAAAGAGGTGTCTTGTTTTTTTAAGAATTCAATTCAATTACTTTTTTCTAAATATATGTACTGACCTTTAAATAGCTTAGTGAGACAGACTTCTGTACATTGTAATTCCTTTGTGTCTGAGGTCGACGGTTCGTGTATGTGTTCAGGGAGGAGGAGGGGGGGGCGGGTCTCAGTAGACGAAGGATTTGGTTTACCCTGAAGCACTGTATGGCCTGCGTTTTGAGTGTGCGTGTATTAACTATTATAGTGAGTGTATGAGTGTATATATGTATGGGATATATATATATATATATATATATATATATATATATTATATACACACACATATGTCATTTTCATATGTTGGATATTTTGTTTTTCAACTTATGTTATGTACTATTATTTTTATTTTTTTGACAAATTAATTTTTTTACTATACTGTGTTTTTTTTCTGGTATTAACAAAATAGTGTTGTATGTCAAGAAAAGATCTGAAAAAAACAAGTTGGTATAGTATGTCGAAAATGTAAGCATAGTATAGTAAAACATTTATATTATATTTGAATAAAAATATATTAGAAAAAAGTCATAGTACGGTATTAAAAAAAACGTCAGATAAAACATAGTGTAGTACTTCGAAAAGAACACCATCTTTAACAGTATGTCATAAAATAAGTCAGTATCAGTATCAAAGTTACTGAGGAAACGACATAGTATAGTATGTCATTAATAAAAGTCATAGTATAGTATTTTGAAAAGTAAAGTATGTCATAAAAGTCTGTCTTTCAGTTCAATATGTACTGGAAGAATGATTTAATGTATATTTTGTTAGTGTACACTATGTACATTTGAAAGGTGCTGAAGTAGCAACAATTCAGTTTGACAGGAGGTGTGTGAGCGACGCCACATGTCTTCATATACACTATAATGTGTGTGTGTGGGTTAGTCTGTGCATTAGTAGAGAAGGATCCATACGACAGATTGACAGATATACAGACAGATGCTCAGATGGCCGTCAGGACAGAAACGCCCAGCCTGTCTCCATTCCCAGGATCTGTGTGCGAACTGTGTGAACACACACAAATACACACATACTGCACATCCACAATCTGTCAGCCCATTTTACTTTTCTCCATCACACACACTCACAGCTGTCAGACAAGCTCCTGCTGCGCTATAGGAGGGGGGCCAAAGGTTGTCCCAAATATCACATCCAATCTTTTGTGCTCTTTCTGACCGGCTGGAGTTCAGTCATTACCGTGAACAAAGAACCGTGCAGAAAACATTGTTAGTTTTATGGAAACATGTAATCTTACTGTAATTCTGGGTGTCGCTGCTTTGCCTTAAATGTACATGCATTTAGCAACACAGTCAACACAGTCAGAAAACTACTTATATAGTATGTTATTTCGTTTCACCCAGATTTTTTAAATCCACAAAAAACAAGACTCCTACCTATTTATTTTTGGTATCATTTTCTAAATTAAATTATTACAAGTTCCTTTTAAACTGCAGTTTTACGACAGCATTCAAAGCATGTTGTTCTTTGTTCTTGTAACACTCAGATTTTATTTTTGTTTTATTATCACCCCAGATCCTATTGTGAGTATAAAAATAAGTGTACATTTCATTTGAATGGCGAGGATTAAAGCCACAGCACCTATAGGCAAACCAGAATAAATAGGAGAATAAATCCAACCCATAATTTGCATAAAACATGGTTTATTTGCTAAATCCCACACACATTTTACTGACACACACTGCACTGCACACACTGCAGTCTGCGTGAATTTTTCAATAGGCTTGCTATTCAATTATTAACGCATATTAAATATGAATTGCACATGGTGGGTGCAGGCTTGATCCTATCCTTGATCACTAGTCACAAGGGCACTTAACTAAGAAACCTTATACTCAGAGAAATCTATGTTTTTTCACATCGGTAGAATTGTGTGAACCATAGAGGATAAAAAAAACAACAACACTCATTGCACTACAGGCCAGGGGGTAAACAAGTACCCAGGGAACCTTTAAGAGTGTGCACTCCAAACTGGCAGGCATCGATGGAAAAATAATGAAAATAAACAATACATGACATCATAACATTTGGCATGTTATAATGCAAAACTCCAACTCTAACATTTGTTACTGGGAAATACTGCAGTAACCCTAGTGTGCTAGCAATCATGCAGTTTGCATAGTAAAACTTTACCTTTTGGCCTATATACATTTAGTGCAATGTTATGTTTTTTCATTTAAATGGCATTTTTTATTTTAGTAGAAGTTATTTTTACCTGTTGGTGACGCCAGATAAAACCTGGTGGAAGTACAAAAAACGAAAACAGCCATGATGGCAACGACAGGGTTTAGAAAATGGACCGAGAAAAGAAAGACATCAGACACAGATATTGTGAAGAAACCATCCCTTTATTGGTGTAAAGCAGTCCCATCCAAGTTAGGGTGAACAGATTAAAAACAGTCAGTGCTCAAACAGACCAAACCAGAGTTCGTCCACACCCTTCTGGATATAGTGGGGGGGTTGCAGAGTCGCATGGGTGCAGACCTGTGAGCCTGCACCAAAAAAGTGACAGGGGTTCCACAGAAAATATAAAAAAGATTTCACTTTACTCCAAATCACATTCACTGCTTTACTGAAACACTACAGCACCAGAACTTTCACTGGGCGGTAGGAAAGGGTTGGAGGGGGGAGGTGGAGGGGGGAGGTGTGTGTGACGGGGAGGGGTGTGTTTACACAAACTATCGGGGTCACATTGATGACAGTTATTATTTAAAAACCAATGCTAGAGGCTGTTTTATGAGGAGGAGAGCGTGAGTGGGCCGGAAGTGTGTCCCCTCCCTCTGTGTTGTTTGATGTCTCCATGGTGATCACCAGGTAACCACGGAGTCCTTTGCCATGTTGCTGCTGCTGCCACCGCTGCAACGTGTTTACTTGGCATTGGCGGTACCGCTGAGCATCTTCCGGACTGCCTGAGTGATGCCGTCGCGGTCGATGCCGAAGATCCGAAGCAGCTCGGCGGGCTTCCCGCTGCGGGGCACCTGGGAGACGGCCAGGCGCTGCACGGTGAAGCCGGTCTCGTTCACGACAGCCGCACACACCGCCTCACCTATCCCACCTAAGGAATCAGAACATAAGAAGGGTTAGTTGAAGTTCACCAAATGTACAGAACAAAAGCATTGGTACTTGTGGGTTATCTGTTATCCAATGCTTTTCTACAATTTCTGTCTTTGTTCTTCTTTTGTTTTCCACACTGTCATCTTAAATGTCTCACACCCTAACGGACGGTTGAGCTGCAGTGATGTGATGTGGACTGACAGGACAGACTACGCCCTCCCTCCACTTTCTCACTCCTCCTCCTTCACCCCCAGTCTCTTACCTCCCTCTATCCTCCCCTCTTTCTCAAAACTGTCATTCAAACATTTCTGATTGAGTGAACATGAAAACTGAGACTGATTCACTACTACATTCTCCCCAACCCTTGGTTGATATACTAGCTGGGAACTAGTATGTGCAAAATAGAGACAGAGAAAGACATGCACTGTATCATTTAGGTGTCATTTCTCAAAGAACGTTTCTTTTTACGTTTTTTTTGTCACATAATAAGGTACCCAGAAAATAAACATAAACATTACCGATCATTACATGACCAGAGAAAGAGGAAACAGTTCACAAAAGGACTCAACTTCTACTTCCTTCATTTAACCTCATCTCCAAAATACAATTAAAATTGGTTTGGAGGAAACGGGATAGAGAGTGATACTGGGCTTCCCCCCCTTCCCTGCACCATCTTCCACCCTCTGCTAAGTGCCAACACACACATATAAATCAAAATTAAACGGTCAGGTTCATCCGAATATTGGTGTTTGCATGTTTGTGTGTGTGGTGGAGAGACAAAGCAAAGCAAATTCTATACATCTGTCATGCTGGTACTGAATGTAGGTCAGCGAGAGCCCAAAGGCTGGAGCTGAAATTAAGAAACCCTGACAGGCTCTCCCAGCTCCCCCGCCTCCCTCATGTATTGTTTTCATCCATTTCACCTTCTCTGTATCTTACATCTCGCTCCGCAACTTTCACCCCCAATCTCTACTGTACTGTACAGCATCCCTACACCCCCCACCGGCGCACCTCACAACTTCTCCATCTGGAGACAGACCTTTGTCCTTTGTCTGCCCCAGGCTTTTTATTCATGAGAAACAAACAC